GGGGGTATTTGCAGAGGAAAGGTAAAGGGGTGGGGGTTACAGAGAAAAGGTGATCACTGTACCCTGTAGCACTGCATCACTTGCTGTATATAACAAGACAGCTGACACACCCCACTTTACTAATGCTGCAGTTGCTAGCCCCCCCTTAGTCCATTTAGCAGTAAATAGCCGCGTTACCTGTGCACATTGAGGGGTAATGGATATTAGGAGGTGGGAAGAGATGAGAGAGGTCTATGTTCCTTGCAATCCATCAGAAATAAAGTAGGCAGGGCTAACACCACCAGCCTCAGTGTTCAGAGCTGTGTTGTCATATCAAAGAGGAAGGTAGGGGCATACTATATTTCAAGTTATTTTTCAGTTCTTGCAGTGTGTGTTTAAAATGAATAAACATTGGGAATTGTGCGCGTTCTGCAGATATCTAAATAATTTTTGGATTTTCACTAATATGAAAATAATTGTATGCCAGTTTGCTTAATTTTATTTTGGCCACTCATTTGGAGACATTGCTCAAACTAAATGGAAGCAACTAAATAGATTTAGGTTTTATTTCCAATGAATAGTTCTTATGAGTGCTAAATATTTTCCTATAACTTTCATGTATAATGTCATAGTCGGTTCTAACTAGTTTCCTTGGGAACAACTGGCTTGATCTTTATTGCTTGTTTTAAATAACACTTGATAGAAGAAGAAAAAAGAAGATATTCTATTAGAAAATGATTGCATTTTTGAGAAGCTATTCGGTTCATTACTGTTTAATCACGAGATTGTATTCTTGTTCATCTTTGCCGCTATTGTTCTTTGGAAACTGAATTCTATGTGTGGCCCTTGTAAGAAATTGGGCCTCTTATATATGCTATATACAGTAACTCAATGTTGTTGATAGTTTATCATGTACGTACAGAATCCTTTATATTTGTTTTCATCCAAGGCCCAATGTATACAAATTATTTAGGCAAGTCAGGCTACAACTGGATAGCAATTCCCCTCTTCTTTATAGTTCAAAGTTGTAACAAGTCATGTCTGTGGTAAATCCATGGATGCATTACTCACCTAACTTCACAATGGCAGCTTTTGCTCTATCCAGGACTATATTAGAGTTAGTATTGACATAGGATAAGTTGAGATTGTTGGATCAAGCTCTCAAAGGGGAATCTTGAAATGAGGTCTTACCTTGATTTGAGGTTGCTCTTGTGCCTAATGCTAGTATGGACACCTGAGAAACATTACAAGGATGTAGATGGGGTTGCCACTCTTCCCGTGCCGTGGATGACAACCAGTAGTAGCAGAAACTACTCCAAGAGCATGTCACTGGTAAAATGTGTGATCGGGCACAGCTATTTCCATTGATGATTAGGAGATGGGTAGAGCAGTCTGAATCCAGTTTACTTTTCCAGACTTATGTGAAAGCTGTCCAGTTCCTGGGTCAACCTCACCGATTCAACAACCATCACTTTTATAGCAATGTGGTTTCAGTGGAACTGTAAAGAGTATTTTTTAGGGATGTTCAGATACCAGTTCAGATACCAGTGCGTGCCGATACTTGGCATTTTCACGAGAACTACCAGGGTTGCAGCGGTTGCAGCTGGGACCTAGCTGTCGCGCTCCACCCCTGTCCTGAAATCATTAGTCTGTATTGTTTTAGAAAAACTGTCACATGACACTAAACAAAAATGTATCAGTACTTGTATCTGCGAGGACATGGACAAACATCAATACTTGTACTTGAAAAACTTGTATTGGTGCATCCCAGGAGCTCTGCATGCTCCTTACAAATGACAGCTGCCTCCTAACTTTTGAGTTTTTCTCTAGTCTAATCTTGGAGCTGGAAAAGTATCTGTACTTGTACCGAGTACGGTACTTGGTATCTAAACATACCTAGTATTTTTTATATGTATCCTCCATTTATTGTATACTCTCCCTGTATTGTTAACAAAATTTGTCTCTTTAAAATGGTGGCTAAACAGTTAGTACATTATCTTTGTAAAGTTTTTATGCTTCCACCATTTTATGTGGCTACGTCTGGATTCTCTAATTAAGTATAGGCATGAGCTGAACAATTTCATTAGTTTTGGCAAGAGACTAGCAATTTCGTCTAAGAAGAAACACTCAGTTTTGCTCATTAGGCAAAGTGCACTTGAAAAAAAAAATGGTTCTTCTTTGAGGGTATGGAGTTTCAGGAGATGTATTTAAGGTAGTAAAAGTTTATTCCATTTAGAGTTCTTTGTATTTTTGTTTTTTTTGTTTTTTTGTGTGTGTGTGTTTAACTGTCATGTGTGTACTGTCACTTTCAATTGTTTACTTTACTGTTTTTCACTGTCTGTGTTTTCTTTCTCTAAATGGAAAGAAAAAGCAACATAATGAGGCTAATAAGAGGTTGTTTTTTATGCAAGATCAGGTGCAGAATAGCAGCTTTCCAGGAGCAATTTAAAGTCAATTTTATCTTTAAAAAACAAAAAAATCCCTTCATTTTACATGACATATTTTCCCCATAGACTCCAATTCTACAATGGTGAAATTTTACCAAAAACATTGTGGTTGTCGGACTCTGTTGTAAACGGGAGAATGAAGTCTGATGTGAAGGGGGGCTCCTGATGTAAAAGAGCAACTCTCTTGTAAACTGGGGGGGGGGGCCTCTGATATGAAAGTGGGGCTTCTGATATGAAAGGGGGCTCCTTATATTAGGGGGTTACTGATGCAAAGGGTCACTGTGATGTGAAAGGGCGGACTTGATTTCAAGGGGGCACTTCTATGTGAATATATGAAGGGTGAAACTTACTTTTTGGTGTGTTTTTGCGTGGGGTCTCCCTTAACATCTATGACATTTTAGACTGGGGTCCCTCGAGATTTTGCATACTTTATGGGTGTCGTGACTAAAAAAATATTGAGAAATGCTGGTATAAAGCCTTATGTTTATATATAAATATATAGAGACAACCTGCGCAAGATAGACCTTTAAGATGTGTGCAGCATGTAAATGTCCCATGTTCTATTCTCCAAATGTATGCTTCTTTGATCACACTTGAGTTTCTTACTATATGTTTTGATTATGTTCTCATATGTTCCAGTCATCTAGTCATGCAATTTCTATTTTTCAGGTTTGCTTTTTCTTTGGTTGAGAATTGAAAACATTCATCAATCATCTTTTTTTTTTGAGTTAGGTAGTTTGAACTCATTGGGAATTTCTCTTATCATTCTATTTTTGTTATTTCCCTCCAGAGTCTTTCTGATTGAGTTTTTTATTGATTATATATTACATCCATTTCATGTTATATTAATTTCATATATCTTGTCCTAATTTATCAGGTACAATATTATGGGTATTTATTGATTTTTGTGTTGTTCATTAGACATGCTGACTTGAGTGTGTCCTCGTAGGAACCTCCCAGTGTGGCTATAATAAATACAAATGTTTTAGTTTATTGCCTTGGGTCCACTACATGATGTTATTAGTTTTTGTTTTTTTTAAGACATGTTTCTTGGGTTAGATATACAGTGTGTATTAATAAAGATGTCACTTGACATATTGGGTAGTTTAGTTATCCATTTGGAAATCTTTTTTCAACGTAATTAAGAATTACTAACACCACATTTTCTTATTTGTTACTTGTCTTTCCTCAGGATATTCCATACTTCAGGCCATCATGGAGAAGGCTGGTCAGAATGGGTGGCAAGTGAGTGCAATATGTGTGGAAAACTTCAATGATGCTAGTTATAGACGTCTTCTAGAAGACTTGGACCGAAGACAAGAAAATAAGTTTGTAATAGACTGCGAAGTTGAAAGACTTCAGAACATTCTGGAACAGGTAATTGCCATTTCCCCGGCTTCCTAATTTTAACATTTATTTTTAAACTGAATGGAACATTTCTTCTAACAATAGAGGAGATTTAGCTTACTCTCATGCTTAAAGGCGAACTGTAAGATGAGGTTTAAATGCTTGTTTGTGTCTAGGTGCTAAAAAAACAAGATATGCTCACCCAAAGCTCAAAGCAGGCCAGCTGTCATGGTGTTCTTCCAACCTGTCTTCCCCCTCCCTGCAGCATTGTAATCTTTCTCAGCATTCTCACGTCTATACACAGTGTATAGATGGTGATGGACTTGGGGCTGGGCTAGTTTCAATTTTTTTTTACTGTTTCTTTATTTTTATCATTATTAAGCAAAACACTTGTCATCAACTGCTTGGTTTCATGTGACTGTACATTACAGAAACAAGGTATTACAAAGCAAAAATATAAAACAGAGATATAAAAAGAGAAATGTTTTCCAATAAAATAAAATCTATAAGGTACATTACAGTGCAAGGGGAAAATGTCCCATGGCTCATTGGGGAGAGAGTGCAGGAAGTGGAGGGAAGAGGCACAAGTAAGTGGATGAGCTCTCCAGCCCGTCACTAGCGGTATATCTGCCGCCCCGAGGCCGGGCCTCTGTGGCCTTGTGGGAAATCCGGGCCTGCGCGGGAGTGGTAGAAAGGACTTTGAAAATACCCACCTGCATTTAGGAAGCTTTGTTAAATATTCCAGAAATACACTTGAGTGACACTGTACTTAAAAATGCAAAGTTCCATAACTATTTACAACAATGCAGCTTATTTGTGTATCACTCAGCTGTAGATCCTCAAATTATCTCTGAATTGGTGCTGACACTGTCCTTCCTTCTGGAGGGGGGCTACTTGTGTTCCCCATGGTCCCTGTGTGTGTTGTAAAGTTTCCACCGCTCCAAGCTCGCTCCCATGATGGAATACAATCTCAAATTAGTAAACTAAACATGAGATTGTAGTTCATCACGGGAGTGAGCTCGGAGTGGTGACTAGTTTACAACACACACAGGGACCATGGGGAACAAAAGTAGTCACCCTCCAGAAGGAAGGGCAGTGTCAGGGGGCATGTAATCCTTCCACAGTCTATTCAAAACTAAACTAAAAAAAAAAAGTATGCATCTTTGCATGCACTAAATACACCTTGATAATAATATTTATAAGAAATAGTCTGGTAGATTGTTGATCCCTGGAGTAACTGCTTGTCTTAGGCAGGGGTGGGCAACTCTGGCCCTCCAGCTCTTGTGGAACTACAAGTCCCATGAGGCATTGCAAGACAGAGTTACAGGCGTGACTCCCAGAGGTAGACACATGTTGGCATTTGTAGATAAAGCACAGCCGGAGGGCCGGAGTTGGCCAACCCTGGTCTTAGAGGGTTAGGATTTTTTTTTCTTTTCCCGTAGAAGCAAATTGGACAATGTTTTATAATAAGTGTTTTGCTTTTCAATGAATCATCTGTGGGTTTAGGGTTCTTAAGGATGCTTGTTTGTAATGTATTTACTTTTATCTTTTGGTAAAACTTGATGGATGCGTGTCTTTTTTCAGCCTTAAGGTGTAACTATATGAGAAAGCATCTTGATATTGGTTAGACCCACCAATGCATTGCAGTACAGGCCATACTATTGGCTTGCAACTCAATGTAACCACTTCAGGACATGAGCAATTTTCACACACACATTCAAATCTGCATTTTGTTATTAGAAAGTTACTTTAAAACCAATAATTGTCTATTTTCAATTTTTTATCTCACATTATATTTGCACAAATCAATATTTTTAGGAAAAAATACACTAAAATGAATTTTACTGCACACAAACACAATCTAATACCCATTTCTTAATATAAAAGAAGGGGTCACATTAAGTAAATAGATAGCAAATCCGTTGAGCATTCAAATTCTGTGCGATCGTGCAATAGTGAAAAACTATAGTACTCAAAATTGTCTATAGGTGATACTTTAGAAGCCTTTACCCCTCATCAATTTAGAGTTAACAGCAAATTATGGAGCATCAGGAGGAAGAGGGGAGCTTTTGAGGTAAGTAAAATTCCCTTTTCCTGGTAACCCTAGGCAAAAACAAGCATTTAACCCTTATAGTGCAAAGGGACACCCACTGCAAATGTATTTTGAGTTCAGCTTTAAACCCCTTGAATCACTATCCAATAGATGCTAAGTGTTTGGGAGGCTCAGACAAATCTTTCCCTGAAGGACATTAAAAGATTAGTTTTAACATCAAAACAAAACAAAACAAAACATGGAAATGATTAGAAATCCCCCAGTACAAAACATGTTCTGCTCTGTATGTTTTTAGAACTTTATCTGTGTTTCTGACGCTGAGATGATATCAATGAGAATAGATACATGATGTGAAGTCATCTTAGGTTTGCACGCTTTCCGTATAAGCGCAGGAAGCAAATAGGATCTCCAACACTCAGCTTCTTTGCTAGTTAGCACAATGATCTGATTAACAGCACAGCTATCAGGACATTTCTGTTCTGGACATTTCATAACAGAGTTTGCAAAGAGATGTAGAGACTGCTACAGCCCTACCCTTGGTCATGTGATGTCACATAAACCTGTGCTATAAGTCATCTTCCGATGCCCTTTTTACCATTTCTACTGCCTTTCTTTGGAAATCAGTGGGTGTTACACCTGTAAGCACAAGCGGATGTACCTGTTGGCTAATGGTGCTTACACCAGGGTTGATGTCACATGGCAAAACTAGTAGTTTGAGACTAGGTGTCTCATAGATAAGCAGCTACTGACACCAATGATCTTTTAGCTGTCTGTAAATGGGGATTTTTTACAATGACCCCCAATATGACTGTTGCTGGCTATTATAATATCCAGCATATATATATGATATTGTCATTTCCCTCCTACAGCAGTAAGATTATCATATTTAAGTACAAGAATATGATATCCCCTAGTTAGCAATTTCATTATATTAGATAGTGGTGACATAATATCCCCAGCCAGCTGTGACATTATAATTCCTAGCAGTGACATTATAAAACCCCCAGGCAGCAATTACATTATAATATCCCCCAGCCAGCAGCCGCATTATAATATATTTTCACCACTGACACCATAATATCCCCCAGCCAGCAATGGCATTATAAAAGCCAGCAGTGACTATATAATATCCCCCAGCCAGCAATGACATGATAATATATTGTCATCACTGACATTATAATATCCCCCTAGTCAGCAATGGCATTTTAATTTATTTTCTGCAGTGATGTGACAATATCCCCTAGCCAGCAATGACATCATAATAGCCAGCAATAATATCATAATAGCCGGCGATTACATTATATTAGCCAATGTGATAGTATAATTTCCCCCAACTAGCAGTAATATTATAATATTCAGGAACGACATCATAATTTCCCAGCCAGTAATAATGTTACAATAGTCAGCCATTATATGGTAATATCCCTGGCCAGCAACTTCATTCTAAAAGTTATCAGTGATATTATAATAACCCTCAACCAACAATAACATTATAGTTGTCAGCAATTACATTGTAATAACATTTTAAAATGTCTCATGACATACTTTTAACCAGCCAGTGATGACACAATGATAGTCAGTAATGACAATAAAACATCCACCATGACATTATGAGACTCTCCAACCATCAAAAACATCATAATATAGTCAGAAAGTCCAACAAATAAAGAAGCCGCGCTCCCCGATCAGCAATATCATGATTTAACCTTGTAAACTATCCAGTGTTTTGCATCATACAAACAAAGACATAAGGCAATATTATTCTAGTATCAGTACATTTTGTCTTAAAATATACTGGGTGGGAATTGATCAAAACTGGAGCAGACAGAAGCTGATTGGTTACTAGGGGCAACTGCTCCAGATTCTAACTTCAGTTTGTTCAGCTAAGATTCGAAAATGAAAGGTCGATGCTGATTGGTTGCCATGCACAGCTGCTCCAGATTATATCAGATTATATCTGTTCTAGTATTGATACATTCCCCTCAATGTATGGAGAGAGAGAGAGACCCTTTTATGTAGTGAGTGCTGCCTTCCATCTGCCCATCACTTTCACCAACTTCCTGTATTCACAGTTTGCATTGCGTCTCTTTCCCTGTTGCTTGATGTGATGTAATCTTGATTTCTCAAGACTGCATATCCCATCATGCAGTGCTTCCAGCAATCAATGATAATGTTACATTGTTCAGACATAGAGGGCAGTTAGGGTGAAATTGTGTCAGTGCATTAAGGAAGTACATCCTATGGGCAGCCTCAATAAGTAAGTTTACCAACTTCTAGATCGATATGGTTATTGTTGAAAATGCAACAGCATACTGATTGTATTATTGACTGTAATTATGGGGTTTATTCACAAAGCTGTCAAAGGCAGCCAAGTGAATAACCCAGCCGAAGTGAAGTGAGCCGAACGCTGTTCGGCTATTCACTTCAGGGTTGTACAGCTGATTTCAGCCGTACATTGGCTAAAATTAGCTAGACATTGGCTGCCTTCGGCTGAGCCGAAGTGCAGAATGACTTCGAATAAGCCGAACCAACATCTGGATCGGCTGAGCCGAAGCTCCGGCCTCTCACTCTCTGCCATTCGCCCCTATTCACATAGGGGCTGAACAGCAGTGATTGAATAGCCGAATGCCGCCAAGCGGCATTCAGCTTAGCTGTTCTGCTCGGTACCTCAGAGGTAACGGGCAAAGTAGAAAAGAAGTGCAAAGAATGTGTAAAAGAAAAAAAAGTTGCAAAATGATTTTTAAAATGATAAAAATTATATTTTCAAGAACAGAAAGAATAGTCATGCTTGGGAGTCTTTTTTTTTATACTGTCCTCTGTAATAAACTGCTGATCTAAGTGACTGTTAGAATGACAGGGATAAGAGTAAGCGTGCCTTGTATGTTGTGGGCGATCAGAGTTATTAACAGGGATCTTTCCAATTTTAGATAAAAGAATACAAAGTAGAAAAGAAGTGCAAAGAATGTGTAAAAGAAAA